TGTTCTTTAACAAATAGCACTAGATTTGCTTCCATAGCATTTTTGACATAATTCCAGATATGTTTACAGTTCTAAGTAACACGATTATACCTTGTTTTAGGATAAAGTTATAAAACTTTCCTCCCTCCCTCCCTCCCTCCCTCCCTCCCTCCCTTCCTTCCTTCCTTCCTTCCACACTGTGAGCCACCATGCCCAGTCCGGTTAGACATTTCTAAGCAAATGCATATTACTAAGCAAAGAAGCCATTCTGCAAAGGCTACACATTGTTTGATTCCAACTACATGACATTCAGGAAAAGACAAACTATAAAGACAGTTAAAGAGATCAGTGGTTGCCAGGGTTTGGGGAGAGATAGGGATAAGTAGGTGCAGCACAGAAAACTTTTAGGGCAGTCAAGCTACTCTGTGTGATACCAACTGGCGGGTACATGTCTATATCCATTTATCACAACCCATAGAATACACAGCTAAGAGTGAACCCTAAGGTAAACCATGCACTTTGGATGATTATGATGTGTCAATGTAAGTTCATCAATTTTAACACATGTACCTCTTTGGTGAAGGATGTTGATAACAGGAGAGGTAGGTTTTTGCACGTGTGGGAGGAGAGGGTATACGAGATATCTCTGTACCTTCTTCTCAATTTTGCTATGAACCTAAGATTGCTCTAAAACATAAAGTCTATTTAAAACTGGTAGAAAAACTTGAATATAACATAGATGTTCATTTTCTTTGTTTTTCATGGTCTTCATCTTCATTAAATATATTTATAGTGATAGTTTCCTTTCTATTTTTTTCTCTTAACAGGAGTCTTTCAGTTTTCTGTTACTGCAATGTACCATCTTGACACAATTTACATAGTTTAAAACTAATGTATATTTTATTTATAGCACGTATCACTTTAGCAGCCCAGTTTTAGTTTAAACAGATAGATGAATTCTAGCATACATTGAAATATTGCATTTGTTTATGCGATGATAATGTTATTGCTGGAAATAAGATCCTTTAGTAACCACAGCAAGGATCCCCAGTGTCATGAGGATGACTGACTGCCATGCACAAATTCTGTACATTCAACCCAACTAAGCACAAGCTTGGAATTAAGATGGAGACCACACCATTGTTTCCTTTCTGGAGGCCAAAGGCCATGTTTCCACTAAGTTTTTTCCAGCGTTACCATTCCACCTTCGAAGTTAAAACAGCTTATCTCCCATGAATTAGATCCTTGCTCCTCACAGTAAGCCCATGTGCCATCAGCATTAGTGTAACCTTAGGGTTTGTTAAAGATCATCTGAGGCCCCAGCCTAGATGTGCTAACTCAGAATCTGTGTTTTAGTGAAGTCTCCATGTGACATAAGGCACCCTGGAGTTTGAGAAACACTGAATCAGACAAAGAAAATGAGACCTTGGTGAAGTAGTGCTGTGGAGAATTGTGTTCCCTCCTCTCCCCTCCCCTCCCCTCCCCTCCCCTCCCCTCCCCTCCCCTCCCCTCCCCTCCCCTCCCCTCCTCTCCTCCTTCCCTCCCTCCCTCCCTCCCTCCCTCCCTCCCTCCCTCCCTTCCTTCCTTCCTTCCTTCCTTCCTTCCTTCCTTCCTTCCTTCCTTCCTTCCTTCCTTCCTTCCTTCCTCCCTTCCACAGGTGTGAGCTGCCAATTCACTTCAACATATGAATTTCATGTGGTTGAAACCTCCAGTACCTTAGAATGTGACTCTTTTGGAGAGAGTCTTTACAGAGGTAATCAAGTGAAAATGAGGTCATTAGTTTAGGCCCAAATCCAGCATGATTGGTGTCCTTATAAAAAGGGAAATGTGGGCACAGAGACACACATAGAGGGAAGGTGATGTGAAAAGACACAGGGAGAAGTTGGCCTGACACAGATCTTTTCCTCACACCCTTCAGAAGGAGCCAGTCCTGCCAACACTTTGATCTCATACTTCCTGCCTCCAGGACTGCAAGGCAATACATCCCTGTTGCTTAAGCCTCCCAGTATGTGATGCTTTGTTATGGAAGCCTGAGAAGACTAATAATCTTGGTTATGCTTTCTTCTGTACCTTAAATTGACTGCCTTCTCGATGGTATCAGCTGGGCATTTCTGCTCTTCTATGTACCCAGAGAATGCTGTCAGGCAGGGTGCTTACCGCAGTTCTCATGGGGACATAGTTCATGGAAGATACAATAATGGTATTTGTGACAGTTGTAAAACCAAGCATTAAGGACCCATTAAGGACAATGGCAGCTTCCCTGTAACATGGACTTCTTCAGCATAAAGGAAATGATGGACATGGATCAGATAATGTCTTAAAAATTTTGGGTGAGAGCTGTGGGAGGCATAAATGGATTTAAGAATGAACCTACCAGATGGAAAGAACAGAAGAAGGAGATTCAGAGAATACCTAAGAGCAGGCAATACCAGAAGCACAGAAGAGTGGGAGAGAGCCAGGGCAAAGAGGAAGCTGGGAGATTAGTGGAAAATGAGCAAGGTGTCGTTTATGATTATGTAACCACCACAAATTCGTGAAACGCGGTAGTTAATCTATTCCTATCTAAGATTTGCAGTTTCAAATCTGCCTTCCACATGGATCATGGAATTAGTACTACTAAATAGTAATACCTGTTCGTTAGAGCTGAAAGAGTGTGAGTTCTTTTATATATAAGGAAGCTGAGTCTCAGTGTGGTGAGAGATGTATCCAGTAGCTTCCAGCTAATTAGTTGGAGACTCAGGCCCAGGATCCACATCTCCCAGCCCTAGACCAGAGCTCTGGCCAGTACACCTGGCATGTGTGGCTTTTGGTAGCTGTAGATCATAGAACAGAATGTCTACGATACGTGAAATTGCTTTACATGAAGCACATGGATTTTGCATCAAGGAGTTTTAATTATAAGGCTATAAATATGTCAAAAGGATCTGACAACATCTTATTAAATTACAAGACTGAGCTCAAGTAGTTTCTGATGCTGGCATAGTCCCAAGAAGAATAAGTTTTATAGTTGGGAGCTACCCAGCCTTGTACCTCCCTCTCCCCGCCCCCTCTTTTTCCCTTTTGAAGTGTTTATTTTAACCATAGAAAATACCAGATAGAAATTATAAAAATGAAGAAGAAATATTTTATTCAAATTGTTTTCCTTCCCTTTTTCCTCTCGTTTCTTTGAATGATAATAGACTTTAATCTTCAGAGAGTCCTCTTTAGAACTCCAAATAGAAAAAATTATTTTTTACTGATGAGATATTAAGTGTGGCTGGTATTTTAAATTGCATTTCCATTGGAAATAGGACACTAGTCTCAAATTTTCTATTAAAAAAGTGAGTGCAAAGGAGTGATTTTATAGACATATCTGTCATATTAACTGTCAGAATCCTGGGAAAATTGGCACCTGAGAATTTGTGATAGTGCAAGTGTGAGCTATGAAGACTTTTAGTGAAGACTGAATGTTCTACTCCTCCGTTGGTAGCTGCCTTAAAAATGTAAGAGTTACATTCCAAGTTTGGAAGTAGGATCCCACTAACCTCATTATATTGTGATCATATGGGATCTAAGATAATGGTTTCTTACTGTGTCCTCTTAAAGATCTCATCATGTCCCTTTTTGGTTATGCCACAGCATCTCTCTTCTCACCGGTCTGTCGATCTTATTAATATTTGTATTGGCTGGGTGTAGTGGCTCATTCTTGTAATCCTAGCACTTTGGGAGGCCAAGGCCAGTGGGTCAGCTGAGGTCAGGAGTTTGAGAACAGCCTGGCCAACATGGTGAAACCCCGATTCTACTAAAACTATTAAAATTAGCTGGGCTTGGCGGTGGGTGCCTATAATCCCACCTACTTAGGAGGCTGAGGCAGAACACAGGAGGCTGAGGTTGCAGTGAGCTGTGATTGTGCCATTGCACTGGGCAACAAGAGTGCTGTCTCAAATAATAATAATAATAATTGTAGCAATCAACATCTAAAACTGGGAAATGGAGGCCACTTTAAGTGTTTCCAACAGTGGGAATTTAAAGCAGGGAATTGCTTACGCCGGTGATGGCAGAGGGGAGAAGCCAAAAAAGAGACAGTGAATGAACCCAGAGAAAAGTGCAAGAAATCACTTCCATTACAAGAGTGGACACATGTACTGCTATTATTGTTTTTTTTTTATGTATGTAGGAAATAGATAGGTCTGTCAGGGATTCAGAAGTAGTAGACACACAGGAAACAAAAGGGTGATCATGAGCTGAGCCACAAGGATGCATTCTAGAGCATAAAGAACTCTGGTGCTTCCTGGGTCATTGTGAACATTAGCTAGAGGGCTCTTTTCATGGTGACATTTTGTCTGACTTAAAACTTCTCCAAGGAACAACCTGAGCTGAGGAACACTTTCCGAATAAACGCGTTGTAACACATTTTATTCTCTTAGATATAATAATGTCTTGCAGAGAGATAGCTTTTCCTTTCAACCAAAGAGATGCATTTATCCAGGAAGAAAGGGGACTTAGATGAACACGTTCTGCTTTTCTAAAAAAAAAATATTGCTTTTCTAAAAATTTTTTTCTAAAAAAAAAGATTTTAAATTCGTGCTCCAAGTAACTGATGAAAATACTCCTGGTAGGGTTAACTGGAAGCACAATGGCAAGGTCAGCAAAGTTGTGGGGTACCTGCAATCACCTTCGTTCATGTCCCTCCCCACTCCACGTGCTGCTTCTCTTCAATTTGGGCACGCAGTGTTCCTAACTTCTCTTCTACATTCTTTACTTATTCTTACTTGAAAGAATGAGGTTTAAGGGACTTACATTTAGAACAAATTTATCAATGTAAGATATTCACGGCTGCCTAATGAAACTGACCCTTAACGTTGGCATATATTTTGGGAGATATTTTAAAATTAGAACATGAAAAATGACAAAAGATGAGAATATTTTGAAGTAGTTTGGCTATAGAGTATTTAAAAATTGGTGTTTATGTAATCAGTCTGTATATTTAAAAAAGTTTTAAATTATAAAATAAAAAAGAATTTTAAAATAGCACATGTACATCAAGTCATAAGATAAAGTTTAATACATTTGATCATGTTAAAAGAGACAAAACACAGCCAATCTAACCAAATTTCAGGCATGCATTTACATAAATATATTAAATTAAGAAAAGAAATTATACACTTAAACATCCTTTTCACCTAAAAATCATTAAATCCACAGATCAACAATAAAACCAATTCTCTGCATTTACCACTTCAAGATACAATTGTTCTATTTTAAAGATAACACAAATACACTTGTTAGAATTTATATGCATTATACATATATTATATTTTACATAGATAGTGTGTATACATATGTAGTGTTTGTACAGATAGATAAATATATATACATGGGTGTGTGCACACGTACAGATACACACAGATGTACTTTAGGCCATCTGTACTATTACTGCTGAATTCTAAAGTTGAGCTGAACTGGTGCTGTTGGACGTGATTATTGTCTTTTCCTTCAAACATGCTCATGATGCCTACGGGGCCCACAATCCCCCCACTGAATGTCCTTGTCTTTTCTACAGCACATAATCATGGTAGGCACTTTAATAAATATCTTTTGAATTAATAAATGGATAGATGATTGAATAATAGAAGATTGATTAAAGAGAACTGCATATTATAATAACTCGGTTAAATAAATCAAATAAGTTCAAATTCAGAGAAATTTCCTGAGCCAATGACTATGCAGGTAACTTTTCAGACAGTTAGAGAAATCTCTCCTAGAACATATGTTAACCCTGCTCCCTTAAGCTTCTACTTGCCTTTAGTACCTGTTCATATACCTTCTCCCTCTTATTAACAGAATTCTAAGTATGAGTTAATTCTGGTATTTGCTGTGAGTAAGGTTCTGGACAAACTGCCCTAATTTTCAACAACCTAAAGGAAAATGAACCGCTAGAGACAACAAAACATGTTAGAAGAATGATAAAGATAATCATTCCTTAAAACTGGACAAAATTAATCACAGATGAAACCAAAAAAGACAGTTTTCATTTTAGTATTTTATATTTGTTCATTATGATTCAACAATTTTTTTTCACTTTAATTAGTTGGGTTACTTTTGAATAAATAGTTTAGTTTACTGTAGCATGTCCTGAAGAATCAAGTTCTAAAATTTTCATAGTACCTCAGTTACTATTTATCTTATTACTACATGGTTCTTGGTGAAATGCATGTCTAAACGTGTAGTGAATATAATGAGATAAGGGAAATATCTGATTTCTCATAAGGTAGTCAACTGAGTTTTTCAATAATAGTATTAGGAAAGGGACTCTATTGTACATGAAATCTTAATTTATTCTAGACAAGTCATGTCTCAGATTTTAAGAATATGAGGTAAAGAAACATATCTTTTGGGCATACCATCCCAAACCTGATCATACTTTGTTCATGTAAATGAAAACTATCAATCAGTTATTTTTTTTAATGAAAACAAAAATGTACAAGAATTAGTTTGTAACTGCAAAGACAAAGCTTATTTCATATTTAGCCGTTATGAATTTCCCATTACTGTTATTGTTCAGTTCTTTCTATATTATGTGCTGCAATGTTCTTTTTGACTTAGGAGATTATAGTCAATTGAGATAATGCATCATACATTTATATTAAGTTGCATATATATGTATATATATATATACATACATACACAAATGTACTTTGAATTTAAGTAATACATAATCTATATATGTAAAAAGAAACCCTATAAAGAAGATGGCTGACTTTATGATGTATGTTAAGAGGTAACCTTAGATTTATGTTGAGCTGATACCATTTTTTTATGTTACTATTTAGTCTGGCTCAAAAAAGAAGAACAGATTTTAAGTACAAGGCTTTCTGTTGATACAAGGAATCTAATTATTTATTTTTTATTTTGTTAATTGACTTATATATGACCTATACAAATCATATGAGAATCAAGGTAAATGATGGGTATACCTAAGGTTCATATTTAATAAGGAATTTGAGAAAAGTCTTAGTCTCATAAGTGAACAAACCTTTCCATAGCAGCTAGGAAGACCACTGTATGACTGGGAAGAAAACAGTTCTACAATACTTCCTCCCAATCCCACGAATATATGTTACTCTTCTAAAATCTTATTTCGAGGTGATGTCCAAAACTTATTTAGAGAAGACAGTTAAGAGAAAGAAGGACTGAAACACAGTAGAAGCATATTTATATGCTTCTATTTATATTTATATGCTTCTATTCTTAGGTTTCCCACTTTCCTTGTCATCTTATTAATTATTGGAGGTATGACCAATTTGTGTTGGTGTGACAGAAGAGAAAGAGAGTAAGATAGCAAACATATATTTCTTTTATGTATTGTAAACATGGACTTTCTGATGGTATTGCCAGCATTCAAGTAATACTTTACTTCCTGGGAGTAAAAATATGTACATTTTCTGCCATGGGACTTTGTTCTGTGTTCTCTGCAACTTCTAATCTCAACCCAGGGGTGGGGAAATAAAGGTTTTTAAAGTCTCCATTGACGAACTGCTTATTTTTTTCCTCACGGATTTGGAATAATTTTCTTTAAAATTATTCCATAGAGAAGGTTGTTCCCTGGCTAAGAAATAGCTACTAACTTTCCCTGCTGTTAGCTCACCCGTGTTATTCCCTATGTCTTTCTTATATCTATGCTTGGGCCGCTGGAGTATCTGGACTGTTAGCGATTTATACTCTTCCTTATATCTTTCAAGGATTGTAATAGATCAGTCTAGTATGACATTTGTTTACTATCTACTATTCTTTGTTATATAGAATTTGAGAAAATGTGGGACAAGGAGAGGCTGTTTTTCATAAAAACAAGGAAAAGATCATAACTAGCAAAATCAATAGCAAACTATCCCAGGCTACCTTGAATATGGGTATATTGAGAACATGTCTATTTAGGCAAAGCCAACAGAAAATATAGGACAGGGAAGTGGCTAAAAGAAAAAAGAATATGTCTGTGTGTGTGTGTGTGTGTGTGTGTGTGTGTATTAGCTGAGAGAGAGAGAGAGAGAGAGAGAGCGAGAGAGAGCGAGGAAGAAGGCGGGAGGGAGGGAGGGAGGGAGAAGAAGAGAACACAGACATTATAGGTAACATTTTATAGAAATACTTAAACTAATTTGTTAATCAGTCAACTACAATGAAAATTATATCTCCCAATGGCATACCATAGTTTTCCTCTATTTAAATTTGGGCTTGATTTCTTTTTCAGGTTTCAAAGCTAAGAGGCTTAGTGGAAAGTTAGACTAATAAAAGTTTAATGTATTCCTTGAACGCTACTAGATGTAGCATCTAATCTCACATCTTACATCTGGTAGGTTTGTATGGTTTATAATTCAGAGATAAAACAGTATCAAATGCAAATGGAGGCAGGGCATGGTGGCTCACGCCTGTAATCCTAGCACTATGGGAGGCCAAGGCGAGTGCATCGCTTGAAATCTGGTGTTCAAAACCAGCCTGGCCAATATGATAAAACCCTATCTCTACTAAAAACACAAAAAAATTAGCCAGGCATGGTGGTGGGCACCTGTAATCCCAGCTACTTGGGAGGCTGAGACAGGAGAATTGCTTGAACACGAGAGGTTGAGGTTGCAGCAAGCTGAGATCGCACCATTGCACCCCAGTCTGGGCAACAGAGCAAGGCTCCGTCTCAAAAAAAAAAAAAAGAGCAAATGGATTAAAATTGTTATTATATTATTTTGTAATTATTTCCAAAGAAATAAATAGGAAAGAAGTAACTATCTGGGACTTGCCAATGACAAACAGAACCGTTTTTTATTTAGGTTGTGTGTATATATATATATGTGTGTGTTGGTTTCTCTACTCTTTATGAGATACTCAGTAATCTGAGAAAACTTCTGAGTATTCTTTGTGATAAAATAAAATATATATTTTACAATAATTACATTGAAAAAAATCCAAGAAGAAAAGTTATGGATGGAAGCACTTTTTGCCATCACTCAAGTTTCTTAAATCTTTTCTCCTTTTCACTTAAACATCTGCCAATTGGTGTCACTTTTATCTTAAATAACTGTCAAGAAAACAAGGTTCTATGAACCAGGACAACAGTATGGCAGAAACAGTAGTAGAAAGGTTATTTCCAAACATTTAAAACAACTATAACATCGTTTCACATTCAACTGACATTAAACTTGAGAATGGACAAGGAAATAATAATATACAATTTTCTTTTTCATTATTTAGTCTTTATCTTACCCATCAGTATTCTTACGAAGGACCTTTTCTTTCCATTTGAGATTGTGTGCTTTATGAACTGAGCAGATGTTGCCTTTCATGTGATTAAACAATAATTTTTTCCTAGCTCATACTTCTTAATCAATTCCTACCTGCCTCTCATCATGAATCATGGAAGATAATTCGCCAGTCATGCATTTAAAAAATCTACTTGAAAGAAAAGGTCAAAGAGATTTTTTTGAATTGACCACTTAATTTAAAATATGTTGCCATCAATTAGCCAGTGCTATCTACTTTTCTCCTAAGAACAGAAAGAAATGACTCCAATGACTTTACTTTCTTTGCTTGGTTTAATATCCGTGGATCTTGCTATCTTCTCTTGAGAAGAACTTGGTCTTTTATTCTAATGACTCACAAAAGAAAAGGCAATGACACCTGGGGCACATATGTTTTTCTAAGTCACTTAAAAATCTTTCACTTGGGAAAAAGCCGTATAAAAAACCTGGGTCTGGTCAACTTAATATAGATATTTTAAACAGTAGAACTTATGGCAATAGGACACCTTTTATTTTGGGGAGGAGATGGAAAGTTTAAAGATGTAAGAAGAAATGCTTGATTTTTTTACATTTTGCTGAATATATAGCAGTATCCTTATTGTTTTCAGGGAAACTAGGAATGGGAGAATGTGTAATAAAACTGCACAATTTGACAGATTTAGACAGCTGGCTCCCTCACAAGAAGTTCACATTTTGTTAACGTCACCCACGTTGAATAAGAGACGATTAGATGGTAAGGTCCATTTACAAAAATGGTTGTCAGGACATTTTTTTTTTAATTGTAAAACTTTCTGTGATGGAATTCAGTAAAAGGGCTATGAAGAGAAAGCAATGGAGACAAAAGATTGCTATTAACCTACAGATGCAGGCTACTGCATGGTTCATTGCAAGATTTGTCACACTGTTGGGCCAATGAAGTGTTGGTGTGACTAGAAGGGACCACCCCTTTTCTGGGGTAAGAGGGCAATTTGGTCTCCATGCTCATTTAATCCTGAGACTTCTTTGAATAGACTGTCAATTGAATCTAAATTGTGCAAAATTATGCATGCACTTTTTAATGCAGGCTATTGTTCACTAAGCACTGAACCAAGATTTCTCAACCCATTTCCATTTGGCATGAGGTCACTTGAAACTAAAGTAATCATATATGGAAGACAAGAGCAGTGTACTTAACCAATCTTTCTACGTTGTGGCTTCTATATAAATGCTTACTGGGCTTTAATTGCAAATCTCTCACCTTAAAACAATAGAGAAATACCAGCTACAGTATAGTTTTTAAATTGAGGGTTGTATTCCTAAAGGTAAGGAGCAGGTTTAGAAAGTCAGCTTGTGCTGCATAATCTATACTGCTCCACAATTTAGATTCTATAGGAATGGATGTTTACAGAAGGGCAGCCACAGTGAGTGTGCACTTGTCATGAGTAGATGTGTTTTTTAGTAGTGCAAAGAGGCCTTATATATTGTTAAAATCCAAACTTGGAGAGCTGGCCTTGAAAACCATGAAGAAAAATATCTACTAGACTTTTTGCAGATTTAAGTCAGAATGTGTCATATCTCTTTAAAACCCTAAACAGAACATTTACAGAAAATTTATTGATACATTAACCAAAGAGTATTTTCATTGAGTTCTGAAGGAACACATACATTTAAAGTCATATTTGGCAAGAATTATTATGTTAAAAATTTGTACAGGTGACAGATTACATAGCCAAGGTTTTTTAATAACAAGTGAGCTCTTCTCCAGTGAGGTTCGATTCAATGGAAATCTGCAACATTCTAATAACATATACTCTGACAGTCTTACTATGGCAAAAAGCACTTTACAAATGTTTAATGATGGAATTTTATAAAGATTGGCTGTTTTCTTGCTTTTTCATCCGTCGTTAATGATTACATGTTGGCACAAGGATACCTTGCTAGATTAGATCCACAGCACATTAAAGACTGTTTGCTTTCTCACTCCCCTTCTTTCCAATTAAGTTGGTGAAAAATGTAACTTTAGTATTTTACAGGACAGGGTAAAGGTGTTTCATCTAGGTGATGTCTATATTATAAAAATAAAATAAAAAATATAAATACGCAACACAAACCCAGTGCCTATTGTTAAATAAAATATACAATAAAAGCAGACCTTTTAGGAAGACTGATTTTAAAATAGGCCATTATGATTTAATTATAAAACCCTTGAAAACAATCTTGAGATTAAGATGAAGTAACCAGATTGCTCTGCCAATAAAAAGGTAAGTGCGTAACATTCTGTAATTGGATACACTGACAAAAATGAAGATTACAATTTTATATCAGGTTGCTCACTTAGAAATTCATTAGGGAGTTCTGAAACATTCTCTCCCAGTATAGTACTTTAATATAAGAATATTGCCTTTTTTTATTAGATCCATCAGATTGCACAGTAATGTTTCAAAACTCTATTAAAGTTGGCTTTCGTGATTACAGACAGAAAATTCCTGGGAAGTCAAATAATCTATTCTGGTGACATAAAAAATCCATTATCAATTTACAATGGAATTTCTGCATAAATTACTCTGCACAAGGAAGTATATACTTTAAAAATTCATCTGTTATGCAACCACGCATATAGGAGTTATGAGTGTGTGTATGTGCATATGTGAACAAATGTGCTGACATACACACAAAAGATCTGCACATTTTTGGAAATTATTTTAAATTAGTGAAAGAGAATGAAATCACAGGAGTGTGTAGCCGGATAACAGTCTTTCTTTTTAATGACAGGATATAAAATAAATGCCCATTGGAAAGGAATATTCAAACAGTTCCATAAACTATACAATGTAACTTGTTAGATCCAGCAAGTAAGATGTCATGTCAATGATCTGATCAAGAATACCTGCCCTGGTCACTCTGCGGATGTTTCTGTCCACTTGTTCACATTGAGGACCAAGATATCCTTTTTTACAGAGGCACTTGTTTGGTCTAACACAGACACCTCCATGACGACAAGCTGGCTCACATTTTGCTGGGAGAGAAAAAGAGCAAGAACATCATACTCTCATTCTGTATGTCAGAAACAGGACTGAGCATGAGACCAGCAAATATTTGCTGACTAAGGGAAGCGAGGGAAAGAAGAAGGGAGATAGTTACAAAATGATCTGAAAGATAAATATGTAAGTAGGAAACAGGCTTTTACACCTATAGTTATTTGGGGGCCTGAACTCAGCAGAGAACGAGAGACATTTCTAGAGAAGCAGAGATCACGAGAAACAAATGCAACCCTTTGCAAAATTAACTCTTTTTTAAACGAAGATTTTAGTCCTTTGAAATCTCTGCTCCACAGAAGCCTTCACTACAGAGGGCCGGCCCCGCACGCTCTGCTATGTTCCCATTCCTTCAAGGTAGGACCTCAACATGGAAGCAGCCCAGCCTGAGGGGGAGACACAGAGGCTCAAGCATCTCCAATGCAACATAAAGGAACGGTTTTGGATTTTGGTTAGGTGGAATATTCGCCATATAAACTCCCTTGAATTCCTCCTTTCCCTTGCTTCCAGGGGCACACAGCATATGCTTTGCTCTCTGATTACACTTTGAAGTCCCTTTCTGGAGTCAGTGCAATTGGCCAGCAAAGGATGTTTTGAGCAAACCTTTTTAGGGTAACCCTATAGCCCAGAATTTATTTATTAAATAATTTTTTACCACTACATTATAAATGTGGAGTATAAAGATATAATGCTAAAATGAGACATAAAGTTGGGTGTATAAATTGCCATTTTCTGGTAAGATAAATCTGGGGAGTACAATCCCTGTGGATGGAGTCAAATTCCTTCAATACATTTCCTTATGTTTTGACGAGACAGGGTCATTTTGACCTTTCAAATGCATTAATCAAATTCCAGGGGTCTGTGGTTGACACATGGAAAAGAAAAAATAAGAAGAAAATAAACAATTTTATCTTTTAAATCTGTGGGAGATGAGAAAACAATGTGAGTACATTAATAAAATTCTTGTTTGCGTACAAAATAAACATACTTTTATAAAATGATTTTGGTAAATATTATATATTCAAATGATTTAAATTTACTCAGTGTAAAGATGAAAGTACCTCATGGAGTAAAATTTTAACTCAATGTATGTCTATTTTAATTTATATCACCATTTACTATTAATATCAATTAAGGTATGTATAATGCCACCCATATTCAAGATAATTCATTCATCCTCAGTTTAAACATACTGCCACTAGAAGGCTTCAGGTAACATAAGAGATTAGGCAAAATGCAAAGCAGGGAATATAGCAGAATGGACACTATTATGTTATATTCTGTCACTAAAAGATGCAGAGAGGCTGAGTGTGGTGGCTCACACTGGTAATCCAAGCACTCTGTGAAGGTGAGGCGGGCGGATCACATGAGGTTGAGAGTTCAAGACCAGCCTGGCCAACATGGAAAACCCATCTCCACTAAAAATACAAAAATTAGCAGGGCATGGTTCTGGGCACCTATAATCCCAGCTACTCAGGAAGCTGAAGCAGGAGAATCATTTGAACCCAGGAGGTGGAGGTTTCGGTGAGGTGAGATCACCTCACTGCACTCCAGCCTGGGCGACAGAGAGAGACTCCATCTTACAAAAAAATGCGGAGAAAGTAGATATTGTCAGGCAGCAAAGGAAACAGAGAGACAATATATTATCAGGAATTTGAATATCACTGCATTTGAATACTGATTGTCATATTTTTGGTCAACTAACAAAAAGAGAGAGGATGGGTCAATAAATTGTGAGCCTTTGTTTTAAATAATGTAATTACTTAATTTCTGTCGAGTTTTAATTTTGATATCTGCTTTCTAGATACATAACCATAGTATTAATTAAACACATCACGTTATTAATGCCGAAGCAATGTAAGTTTAAAATATATCCTCTATATGTGATTTTCAATGTTGGTTATTTTTGTTAGACAATATAAAAATAGACAATTTATAGTTATAATTTTTTGAAACAAATACATCTTGAGGACCAACAAAGAGCATTTATGAATTAATAATATTAAATGTTAACTTGAGATTTTAATTTTCATTGACAATAAGTATTATAATATTTGAAATAGCTGAGATCAAAATCTTTTCGAAGTGATGATATATGCTGGTCGTTAATTATGCATATTCAATTTTAAACTCTAGGTTTCTACATTTATCTACTTTTCTTACTTCACACAAAGTAGAACTTAAACATCATTGCACATAATTGAGGAAGTATCAAGTTACAGGCTAGAACAACCCTGGAATAAATCTCCTTTGCTGTCTGTGAGCAGATGCACACCTAGTTGATGGTTCACAGGGGAGTGGCAAAAAGCATGAAAAAAAAATCTCATAATATATCTCTAAATAATTGCATTTCTCCTTTTATTTAACAACACCCACTGAAAAGCCCTGTTTTTAGTCTGCTGTAGCAGGAAAGCAAGCAGTAAAGCCAGGGAGGTCATTTACGGGGTGTCTGAAAAATGCTAGCACTTGGAGGGGGGCTTTGCAAACACTAAGTCATCACTAGTGTGAAATCTCAGAGCCCAGGACTGAGGTCCACAGAGATGATCCAGTTGTGCTGTTTTTTGCTTTTTGAAAGGATTCAGTCATTTAAAGATTTTGTATCTTCATAATTAACTTACACAAGTAAATTGTTTACATTAAGAAAATGAGCAAGATTTTACTTACAAGCTCAGACACAGATGAGCATTAATAGTATTGTAAATGGCTAACCACTGTTGAACACTATATAATTGTAGAAGAAACAACGGATGTCGAGTTCTTGAGTACCTAAGGACTGGCTCGCCCCCAGTCCTTTCAGGTGAAAACAGAAATACTAACCGATTCTGCAGAAGTCCCCCTCCCAGCCTGCACTGCAGCAGCACTTTCCTGTGGGGGTGCAGTAGCCGTTTCGACAGAGCCTGGAGCACTCTGAGGCCAGTGTCTGTGCCGGTTGTACCGTGACTCTGCATTCCTCAGGCATTAAAGGTCTACATTAAAAGACAATAGTTGAAAGTGTATTCTCGTTGAAAATCAACATTGGAACAGAATCTAGTGATTCAGTGGCTTACAAAACATGCTTCTTACTTTACAGAGAGACTTTTTTTTTACAGTGACTCAGTCAGATATACCTCTTTCTAAGGACAGGAAATACATAGGAAACAAACTTGTTTGGAACCCAACTGAACACATTAAACATTCTCAGAAATTTTATCCTGATCAAAACCCACTGATGAAAACTATGTTTAATTAAATTAATATTTCACACTTGGTAACTAAGAATTTCTAACCATTGCAATATTTAAAATAAATATGTATAAATATCTTAAAACGTTCTCTTTTATATCTACAAAAATGTTTAGGAACAGTGTTTGAGAGAGTTTCACTTGTTATTGACACAGTTGGCAGTATTACAGGGCTTAAGGCATTCATCAAAATGACTTGTGGCCTATAGAGCTTTGGAATCAATTTTTGTTTATTTTTACATTTCTTTTGAGATAATAGTTTCAGACTGATTTTTCTTGAAAGGTAACCATAATGTATGTGTGTATACTATTGAGTCAAAATTTAAACTCCATGCACAGAAAGATCTATCTATAGATTATACATATGTAATCTGATTTTGATCCATATATATATAATGATTATATATCTATAAATAATTTGATTTTGTCCTGCTATAAGGAAAAAGAATGCTAAAAGCAGCAAACAGAGGCCGGGCGCGGTGGCTCACACCTGTAATCCCAGCACTTTGGGAGGCCGAGGCGGGGAGATCACAAGGTCAAGACATCGAGACCATCCTGGCCAACATGGTGAAACCCCGTCTCTACCAAAAATATAAAAATTAGTTGGGCATGGTGACATGCACCTGTGGTCCCAGCTACTCTGGAGGCTGAGGCAGAAGAATCTCTTGAACTCAGGAGGCAGAGGTTGCAGCGAGCCAAGACTGCACCACTGCTCTCCAGCCTGGTGACAGAGCAAGACCCCATCTCCAAAAAAAAAAGTAGCAAACAGAAACATCTTATTTGTAATGTAAAAAGTCATAGATTTTAATTGCTCTACAACTGACATCATTTATAGAGGAAACTAAGATACCTTCAGAAGATTTTTATGGTTCTTACTGTTTTTAAAGTAAGATGTCATTTGAGCTGGGTCAGGCTGGAGTCATGGTCACAACTGCTCATTACCTAATCTTCAGGGAAAAAATGCAGTGGCACATTCCTATCAGTCACTGTTACCTGTGCCACAGTGTGGTGAGAAGTTTCTTTTCAGTTAAGGAATGTAAATGAATGTTTTCATTGCCAGTCAAATCAACAGCATTAGGATGGCCAAACAAATGGACACCTTAGTATCATAAAAAGAAGGTGATCATTACAGGTCAAAGCCTCAAGGGTAAATTACAGAGCGATCTGAGATAAGCAAATAATTAAGCCCTGCAGACTCAGCTTTTTTGAGATAGGTTACCTTGTTAATGTCCCTATGGCAATATAAACAATGATAATAATTTGGGGCCTGACTTCAGGCTGTTTCCACAATGACTCAAAACCATATATGTTAAAAACCAAAATATTTAAAATGTACAGTGACTTCTCTAGCTCTTCTCCCCAAGGAAGTTCTACTCTATGTTGAAAGTGCTGTGTTCTGTAGCTAACACGATAACTCAGAAAACTCCCTTAAACCTATTCAGCCGCTTATTTGAATCTAGAAATGGTCAATTTATGTGAAAGGTCCTTCAAGCATTCCATGCCCTAAGCATATTTTTATTCAAAAAAGCATGAACAATTTCCATGTGTTCCTCAAGAATGTCTTTCTGAGGATAAGGGTGGGGTGGCATAAGGTAGGAAAAGGTTAAACGGTTATGCCAGGGGAAGAAAGGACACAATCTTCGTCTTCTTCTTGTCCTTGAGTATCCCAAGTATATTCTATTTCTTTCTCATTTCAAATTTTTATTTTGTTTGTGAGACAATGGTGGCATTTCTGACCACCAGAAGAGCAGTTTTTCAGTAGCCATGATCATTTACTAAGTGGCATTCAGTAAACAAATATGCTAATTGAAATTGTAGAATTCTGTGCATCTAACTTTTATTCCTTACTCACTTGCTCACCCACTTTCTGACTCATTCAAGAAAAGAGACTCAGAAATAGGGTATGTCAAAAATATATTACATGCTATAGGCAATGCAAAATATGCAGGTACCTACCCTCACTTACTACCCTATGAGATGGTTTATGCCTGAAGAGGTGAATCTAAAGAGATGGCATCATTTAGGTCATGAATATAGGTCAACTTAGTTAAACAACAACTAGAAAATGTTGCCTGTTTGAGGCAAAATATAGGAACACTGATTCATGGACACTCGGAAAAGGAATGAGGACATGATGAATAGAAATTCGATGCTGAAGGGCAATTCTTTAGGGGAGAGTGTCTGACCTGTTTCCCTGCTGATACTCCAATTGGCTGCTTTGACTATTTTTCACCAAACATTCAAAAATATGGAAACCCAGATTAGGAAGAGGATTCTAAATTGTTTTTTGTTTTTTTTTTGACTAAGATTTGGTAAATTCTTGCCTACCCATGGATGTAGTAATTATTTCACATCTGGGCCTGTTTAATTTATATAAGACTGTTTGGCTGTCATATACAAACATTGTAATCCTCTCAACTTTTATTTAAATACCAGGAGAAATTATCTTTTTTTGGTCTATACAGTGACAGAAAACATTCTGTATTTATTATATTAAACCAATCCTCTCTCTTTTAAACTCTTACTCTATCTGGGCTCCCTTAATATGAACATTTACATAAAAGATTGAGTGTCTCTTATAGGGCTTTGTTTCTCTTCAGGAATAGGCTATTTATCTCTCTCTCTCTTTTTTTCTTTCTTCACTGAAGGTTTTCTGAGAGCAGAAGCTACATATTCAATCTTCTTCATGTCGAATCACTTACTCGGATAAGTACTGCGCTTTTCAGGGGAATAAGACATAAATACTACAGGGTCCTGAGCCTCACAGACTACTGAGGGAAAGACAAACGTGCATACACAAAAGTATAATGAACTGTGATTTTGCTATGACACAGGTGTACATGAAGTATCATAGAAATACACGAGGAGGCAACTAGTTTAAGAGATGTTATAGAGAGATGACATTTATGCGACCATGTATTTTATCTTTTCAACTACTCATATTCATAGGAACTAGGAAAATACTGTATAGGCAATCAATAGAAGTTTATTAAATTAAATTAAGTCAGGTATGATGGCTCATGCCTGTAATCTCAGCATTTGGGGAGGCCAAGACAGGTGGACCATGTGAGTTCAGGAGTTCGAGACCAGCCTGGCCAACATGGTGAAATCCCATCTCTACTACAAATTCAAAAATTAGCGGGGTGTTGTGGTAGGTGCCTGTAGTCCCAGCTGCTCAGGAGGCTGAGGCAGGAGAATCACTTGAACCAGGAGGCAGAGGTTGCAGTGAGCTGAGATCATGTCATTGCACTCCAGCCTGGGCGACCAGAGTGAAACTCTAACTCAAAATAAATAAATTGAATTTAATAGTAACCTTCTCAAATGTACTCTCTGAAATATGAACTCCATGAGGACGAGTATTTCCTCTCATCTCTTGTGGTTTCCCAGGACCTAGATGGATGTGTTGCACATGGAAAATGGTTGATAAAAATCTGTTGAATGAATGAAATTAATAAGAATATGGAATTTTAAAAGGGTGTTTGTGTTGGGTAAAGATATGAGGGAAATATGGGCCATTCAGGGAAGGGATATCCTTAAAATCTAATTGCTATACCTTCATATCATAAACACAAACATTTACTGCATTTCTCTCTATTGACTAAATAAACTTGTCTTAAAGTTTTCCCCAAGGTACAGTTAAATTCATTCTGAAAGACGTATTTTTATGCTAACTACAACCATAGTAAATGAACAGAAGGCTAAGCAAGTCATGGTCAACATGAGATAAAGAGATAGGATTGTCTTCTTTTCCAGATGGGCATTAAGGCAACGCATTAAAATTCAATTTTCTAATATTTCGTAGCGTCTGACAAAGATTTTTCGTTATTCTAATCATTCCCCTGCAATAACTCTTTGTAATGGTGACATTATCCCTTTTACAGAAAAGAACAGGGCTCCTTTACATGGAGGCTTACAAAAAGGGAATAAATAGTACCTTTAAACTTGCTTATTATTGTCATGTTGAAATAGACCATCTTACATATACTTAAGTACTACATATACACACCTAGATAGGATATAAACAAAACTTTAGGGTATATTTCTGTGGTGCATTAACCCATTTTCATATTTATTTTTATTAGACTGGAAAATTGGGTGCTTTAATGTATGATCTAATAAGAATTTAAATTGTCTCATTCTTCTTTTAAACATTAACTCTTTAAACTTTTGGCACTCTATTAAATGAAGTTTGAAGTAACTTTCAGAACAGAAAATGTACCCCAGAGGGTGTTTAGGCTTCTAAAAAAGAATATTTCTAGCCTGTTCGTTGACAGCTATCCCCATAGCCCTTGAACTTAATTTAAATCAGAAAAACATATTTCCTAGTCCCTTCACACATGACAAATAATGAAACACTAAAACTCTAGTGCAAAAAACTGTCCAACATTCTTTAATGTATAAAGCACTGTTTTCAGAAATTTAAAATATTTTCTTAGAAACCAACTTTGGCTTGCTTTGTGTAGTAGTATAAAGATTTGGATACTTTTTTGAAAACAAAGGAGAAGTTGAGAAGCATAAGTGATTTATAACACACGTAGGTGATGACTCTCTCTGAATAGCTAAGACCAACAGTGAAAGTCTTTGGGTAATGGTATTATGAATGGTTTTCATTTCATGATATTTAATTTAATGGATGAACAAATAAATCAATACACAGGAAATCCTTTGATTCTGTTTGGAGGTACAAGGATAAATCCTGTCTGAGCAAGAGTAACTACTTCCACATGAGCAATGCAGAAATCTAT